GGTATGATAAAATTTGAAACACGAAATCATAAATTATAATTTAATAAATAATCATAAAAAATAATAATATAATAATAATAATACATTTAATTCAATAATATAATCAAACCAAAAACACTGAAATTTGAAATATAGCGCCAAGTTTGCACATCACTGAGCAAAGTCGCAGAATCGTTTTCAGTGTCTGATGACGAATTTCCCCCACGAATCATTATCACTCAATTCTGCAAGTGGTTCTGATTTACTATCGCTGTTCTCTAGCTGATCTAAACCCGCTTTTGACCTAAAGGGACGCTTTTTGGACGCCATGAACTTTTCTACGTTTCCAGGCAGAAAGAACAGTAAAAATGCAGACAGGGGACAGGACAAAGCACTCGGGACAAAATGTATGTGAAATGGGTTGAAACAGCAATGTTTTACTATGTAAAATTTGTTTGGAAAAAAATGAAATTTTTTAAAATTTCAAATTTCCCGCCGGCGGCGCCCCGTACGTCCAACGTCACAGGGACCGGAACACAGAAGCCGGATGCCGGCATCGGCCGGGGACGCTGCAGGGGACACATTGCGGGAGCGAAGGACAAGGTAAGCTCTGCAGGGACTCCCTATGCAGCGCCGCATGGTAAGCCCGAGAGTAGCTCGGGGTTACCGCTTTTGGTACTGACATTTTACCCCGAGCTACACTCGGGAATACCGCCAGGGAGGTTAAGGTTAGTCCTTGTGGGCACAGATCATCACTCTGATCCATCCTGGAAGCTCTGTAGAAAGAAGAGAAGGAAGAGTAAGAACTCCAAATCCCTGGACCGCTGCTGTGGCTACATGGACGCTGAAAGCTCATCATCTATGGAGGTTAGGTACAGCGGGGACTAGTTGGGTGTAGGGTGTTCACCTTTTCGTTTTTCCTGAAAAGGTGAACTCGCCCCTTTAAAGCCTAAGATTACTCAAAAAGGTTTTTAAAAAAATCAGCACGGGGACAATCTACATTATATTGCCAAAAGTATTGGGGTGCGTGCCTTTACAAACACATGACCTTTAATGGCCCCCCAGTCTTAGTCCGTAGGGTTCAATATTGAGTTGGCCCCGCCCTTTGCAGCTATAACAGCTTCAACTCTTCTGGGGAAGGCCGTCCACAAGGTTTAGGAGGGTGTCTATGGGAAGGTTTGGACCATTCTTCCAGAAGCACATTTGTCAGGTCAGGCACTGTTGTCGGGGGACGAGGCCTGGCTCGCAGTCTCCACTCTAATTCATCCCAAAGGTGTTTTATTTTGTTGAGGTCAGGACTCTGTGCAGGACATTCAAGTTCCTCCACCCCAAACTCGCTCCTCCATTTCTTTATGGACCTTGCGTTGTGTACTGGTGTGCAGTCATGTTGGAACAGAAAGGGGCCATCCCCAAACTCTTCCCACAATGTTGGGAGCTTGAAATTGTCCAAAATGTCTTGGTATGCTGACGCCTTAAGAGTTCCCTTCACTGGAACTAGCCCAAGCCCAACCCCACACCATAATCCCCCTCCACCAAACTTTACACTTGGCACAATGCAGTCAGGAAAGTACCGTTCTCCTGGCAACCGCTAAACCCAGACACGTCCATTGGATTGCCAGACAGAGAAGCGTGATTGGACATGCCAGAGAACACGTCTCCACTTCATCCAACGCTTTGCATTGCACTTGGTGATGTAAGGCTTGGATGCAGCTTCTCGGCCATGGAAACCCCATGGAAACCCATTCCATGGAGCTCTCTACGTACTGTTGTGCTAATCTGAAGGCCACACCAAGTTTGGAGGTCTTTAGCTATTGACTCTGCAGACAGTTGGCGTGCTGCAAAATTGGCCCAAACCAAGTACTGAGTACATATGCATACTTATACTTTTCAGAGGTCCGATATTGTTCTATGTACAATCCTTGTTTTATTGATTGCATGTAATATTCTCATTTTCTGAGATTGTGGATTTGGGGTTTTCATGAGCTGTAAGCCATAATCATCACAATGATGACAAATCACGGCTTGAACTATCTTGCTTTGCATGTAATGAGTCTATCTCATATATTAGTTTCACCTTTTAAGTTGCATTACTGAAATAAATGAACTTTTGCACGATATTCAAATTTTTCAAGTTTCACCTTTATATCTGCGGAGAGGGGATGGGTTACATCAGAGGAAGTGGGCAAAAAGGGATTACCGATTTTCCGGCGTATAAGACGACCCCCCTACTTTTCCTGTTAAAATGTAGTGTTTGGGCTATACTCGCCGTATAAGACTACCCCTCTTCCAATGCACACCAGTGGGAAGAATCGTGCCCCATCATTAGTATCAGTGGGAGGAATAGTGCCCAGTCATTGGTGTCAGTGGGAGGAATAGCACCCCATCATTGGTGTCAGTGGGAGGAATAGCACCCCATCATTGGTGTCAGTGGGAGGAATAGCACCCCCATCATTGGTGTCAGTGGGAGGAATAGCGTCCCATCATTGGTGTCAGTGGGAGGAATAGGTCCCATCATTGGTGTCAGTGGGAGGAATAGCGTCCCATCATTGGTGTCAGTGGGAGGAATAGCGTCCCATCATTGGTGTCAGTGGGAGGAATAGCACCCCATCATTGGTGTCAGTGGGAGGAATAGCACCCCATCATTGGTGTCAGTGGGAGGAATACTGTCCCATCATTGGTGTCAGTGTGAGGAATAGCACCCCATCATTGGTGTCAGTGGGAGGAATAGCGTCCCATCATTGGTGTCAGTGGGGGGTGGAATAGTGCCCCATCATTGGTGTCAGTGGAGGGGGGGGGATAGTGTCCCATCGTTGGTGTCAGTGGGTGGGGGGGAGGAAGAGTGCCCCATCGTCGGTGTCAGTGGGAGGAATAATGCCCCATCATTGGTATCAGTGACACCAATGATGGGGCACTATTCCTCCCACTGACACTTGCTGACCCCTGTTCAGTATGGTGCTGCTGCAGCAAGCATATATGGTTGCAGCAGCACCTGTGCACGGCACACTTACCTTCACTTGATTTTTCGTGGGGCCGCTCGGCTCCGCCTCCTCTCCCGGTGATTGGCCGCCTGTGTGTCTTTCCTGAGCTACAATTCTGGCGGCCAATCACCGGTGAGGAGGCGGAGCCGAGCAGCAGCCGCACGAACATCCAGTGGCCGAACTGAAGGAAGGAGCAGCTGCGCTTCCTGGACCGGATCGTCGTGGGACCCGAGCCAGGTAAGAAACAGAAGCCCCTGCCCACCCCTGTAATTAGTTTCACTTCCGTTGGGAAGGGGGGGGGGGGGCGGCGGCGGCACCGCACCGCCCCCCTAAAAAAGTGTCAGCATGCCGTATACCGGCGTATAAGACGACCCCCGACTTTTGAGAAGATTTTCAAGGGTCAAAAAGTCGTCTTATACGCCGGAAAATACGGTAGTTAATTTTGTGTCAAAGTGCACTTGTCCTTTAACCACTTCCTGTCCGGACACTTTCACCCCCTTCCTGTCCAGGCCAATTTTCAGCTTTCAGCGCTATCACACTTTGAATGACAATTGCGCGGTCATGCAACACTGTACCCATATGAATTTTTTACCATTTTTTTTGAGACAGATAAAGCTTTATTTTGGTGGTATTTATTCACCGCTGGGATTTTAATTTTTTTTACTATGTAAATGAAAAATTCCAAAAATTTTGAAAAAAAGTGTTTTTTTTTTAATAAAATTTTGCAAATAAATAATATTTCATCATAAATCTTGGCCAAAATTTATTCAGTTTTTTTTTTAGTAAAAAAAAAAAAAAAAAAAAAATCCAAATTTAGTTTATAACCAAAAATTATAATTTTTTAAACTTTTTTTTTACATTGTTTTTTTACATTTTTTTTTTTATATATATATATATATATATCTTTTTTTTTTTTTTTTACATACTGTCACCCTAGCAGTACAGTGTCACCATGGTAACACTGTACTACTTGTGGGGGGTGATGAAGATTTTTTTTTTACACTGATTGCTTTTACACCCATATAGGATGTAAAAGCATTCATTTCTCTTTCTGTCTGCATTCTTGCAGTCATTGAGAAATACTGTGTGAGCTGTGATTGGTCACAGCTTGTCACATGGTACAAGGCTGTTGTGAATAGCCTTGTACCATGTGACCTCTGTGATCATTCACAGATTTCACACGTAGTAAGCAATGATGTCACAAGTGACATCTTGCTTACTACTTTGCATGTGATCACTGGCCAATCAGTGATCACATGATCGGGACCTCGTACAGAGGTCCTGTCCGACGATCGGTGTTTCACTGTGTCCGGAGGACTCAGCGGGCACCGGATCGCGGTGCTGCGCGCTCCCAGGGAGCGCGCACAGCTAGAAAAGGCGGGTGCCGTTTCTGAACGGCAACCCGCCCCTGGACTGCCACTGCCCTGCCGTTTATAAACAGCAGGCGGACGGCAAGGGGTTAATGTACCACATTCTACCAAGTCAGCGCTTATTGTTACAGTGTTTGTTTAAATGGCTGGAGGGTTCTTTACCTTCATGCATTCTCTGGTAAAGAAAACCTTCTGTGTTCAGCAGCCCAATCCCTCCCCAATACTTACCTGATCCCCATCTTGATCCAGAGATGTGCAGGGGAGCCTCTGCTCTCTAGGGACTCCCTCCTCATTGACTGAGACAGCAGCGGGAGCCATTGGCTTCCACTACTGTCAATCACAGCTAGTGAGCCAATGAGGAAAGAGCGGGGATGGGGCGGGGCCAAGCCACGGCTGTGTGTGTGAATGGACTTGCAGAGGTGTGGCTCAAGAGCAAGCCTGCCTGGGTGCCTCTATAGCAAGCTGCTTACTTGGGGGGCACTCAGCAGGAGGGAGCGGCTAGAAGCACCAGTCGGAGACCTGAGAAGAGAATTGGGCTGCTCTGTGCAAAACCATTACACAGAGCAGGTAAGTATGATATGTTTGATATTTAAAAAAAAATGTCTTTAATGACAATGCGCTCTTGGTTGTTTCATCCCTTATTTGTTTCCTCTGCTTTGTTTTCACAGTAATCATGGGGAATGTCTTGGCTGCCAGCTCTCCCTCTCCCCCTCCTGCAGGGTCCCCTGTGGGATCCGGTTTAGTGTCTGTGCCTCCTGGGTTCACGATGCCCCCCGTCTCTGGCCTGGGCCAAGTAGCAGAAAAGAAGGAAACTCAGGAAGAGAGGTTACCTAATCCCGGCACTTTTGAAGAGTGTCACCGCAAATGCAAAGGTGAGTCCAAGACACTGAGCTCTGTGATTTGTCATAAGGGCAGTTTTTTCGTATAATTGCAGCAGATTCTGCAAGGGGGTCCTTTCCCTCATGAATAAGTATGAAATGAATAACATTTTAGAAAATGACACAAACACAGAGATCTTTCGGCTGTAATCTTTATACATTTTTCCCTTACATGTGCTGTAGTGACAACCTCTTGCATCTCTCCATGTTCCTCATATAGGTGCTTTGGTGTAGGAAAGTAGTGTGAGTGGCACATGCCATGATAACAAAGCAGAGGTCTGTCTGCACCACCTGCAAAGTTTCTGAGTGAATTGGAAACTCGTGCAGGTTCTGCGCCTGATCAACAAAGGAATTACAAAAAAAAAAATATGGTATGTAAAGTTATCTTTACAAAAATGGTTCAAATATACACTCACCGGCCACTTTATTAGGTACACCTATTCAATAGCTTGGTAACACAAATTGCTAATCGGCTAATCACATGACAGCAACTCAATGCATTTAGGCATCTAGACGTGGTGAAGACAACTTGCTGAAGTTCAAACTGAGCATCAGAATGGGGAAGAAAGGGGATTTAAGTGGCATGGTTGTTGGTTCCAGATGAGCTGGTCTAAGCGTTTAAAAAAAATGCTGATCTGCTAGGATTTTCACACACATCTCTAGAATGGGCCGAAAAATAGAAAATATCCAGTGAGCGACAGATGTGTAGACGAAAATGCTTTGTTGATGTCAGAGGAGAATGAGCAGACTGGTTCGAGATGATATAAGGGCAACTGTAACTCAAGTAACCACTCATTATAACCAAGGTATGCAGAATATCATCATTGGACACAGAAGACGTTGAACCTTGAAGCAGATGGGCTACAGCAGCAGAAGACCACACCGTATGCCACTCCTGTCAGCTGAGAACGGGAAACGGAAGCTACAATTCGCACAGGCTCACCAAAATAGAAGATTGGAAAAACGTTGCCTGGACTGATAAGTCTCCATTTCAGCTGTAATATTCAGAATGTGGCGTAAACAACATGAAAGCATGGATCCATCCTGCCTCGTATCAACAGTTCAGGCTGCTGGTGATGGTGGGTGCCATGGTGTGGTGGATACATTCTGCCTCGTATCAACAGTTCAGGCTGGTGATGGTGGTGCCATGGTGTGGTGGATACATTCTGCCTCGTATCAACAGTTCAGGCTGGTGGTGGTGGTGTCATGGTGTGGGGGATCCATCCTGCCTCTTATCAACGGTTCAGGCTGGTGGTGGTGGTGTCATGGTGTGGTGGATCCATCCTGACTTGTATCAATGGTTCAGGCTGGTGGTGGTGGTGTCATGGTGTGGGGGATCCATTCTGCCTTGTCACAACGGTTCAGGCTGGTGGTGTCATGGTGTGGGGATTCCATCCTGCCTTGTATCAACAGTTCAGGCTGGTGGTGGTGGTGTCATGGTGTGGGGGATCCATCCTGCCTTGTATCAATGGTTCAGGCTGGTGGTGGTGGTGTCATGGTGTGGGGGATCCATCCTGCCTTGTATCAACGGTTCAGGCTGGTGATGGTGCTGTCATGGTGTGGGGATCCATCTTGCCTTGTATTAACGGTTCAGGCTGGTGGTGGTGGTGTCATGGTGTGGTGGAATCATCCTGCCTCGTATCAACGGTTCAGGCTGGTGGTGGTGGTGGTGTCACGGTGTGGTGGATCCATCCTGCCTCTTATCAATGGTTCAGGCTGGTGGTGTCATGGTGTGGTGGATCCATCCTGACTCGTATCAGCGGTTCAGGCTGGTGATGGTGGTATCATGGTGTGGTGGATCCATCCTGCCTCGTATCAACGGTTCAGGCTGGTGATGGTGGTGTCATGGTGTGGTGGATCTATACTGCCTCGTATCAACGGTTCAGGCTGGTGGTGGTGTCATGGTGTGGTGGATACATCCTGCCTCGTATCAACGGTTCAGGCTGGTGGTGTGGTGTCATGGTGTGGTGGATACATCCTGCCTCGTATCAACGGTTCAGGCTGGTGGTGTGGTGTCATGGTGTGGTGGATACATCCTGCCTCGTATGAACGATTCATGCTGGTGGTGGTGCTGTAATGGTTTGGGGGAGATTTTCTTGCACAGTTTGGGCCCCGTTGCACCAATTGAGCATCGTTTACACACCACGGCCTACTGAGTATTGTTGCTGACCATGTCCACCCCTTTATGACCACAGTGTCCCCATCTTCTGATGGCTCCTTCCAGCAGGATAATGCACCATGTCATGTCACAAAGCTCAAATCATCTCAGACTGGTTTCTGGAACATGACAATGAGGTCACTGTACTCCAATGGCCTCCACAGTCACCAGATCTCCATCCAATAGAGCACCTTTGGGATGTGGTAGAACGGGAGATTCGCATCATGGATGTGCAGCCGACAAATCTGCAGCAGCTCCGCGATATTATCATGTTGATATGGACCAAAATCTCTGAGGAATGTTTCCAACACCTTGTTGAATCTATGCCACCAAGAATTAAGGCAGTTCTGAAAGCTAAAGGGGTCCAACCCGGAACTAGCAAGGTGTACCTAATAAAGCGGCCGGTGAGTGTATATCAAATAAATAAAAGCGCATATTTATATCCGTAAATGTAAATCACCACAAACTTTTTGTATTGTAAAACACAATTTTTGTGTTGTCTAGGGCAGCACAAAACCTAAATACACCACTGGACTCATCAAGTCAGGAGGATAAGCTAACAGACAGAAACAATAGGTTACCTAATTAACTCAATTACCAATGGGAGAAAGAGACTTAACAGTAAACACATAACCTCTCAATAAGCAGATTACACATAACAAGCAGGAGACCCCAGAATTAGGTTGTTTTGAGTTGATTATAATCTTCTGCTCTGAGTCTAGGAGGGGGGTTGAAGCAGTCAATGCTGGTTTGGGCACAAAGACCCCAATTCTGTATCCTGGTCCTCCCGGTTCTTATAGTCTGTGTCTTTTGGGGAGACATGGACTTGAATCCAAAAACTATTCCAAGGGTCCCTCCAGGCACACACCTCCTAAAGAATTGAGCCCCTTCAAATACCAAGGCACATAGTCATTATTATTATTATTATTATTACATCGAGTTTATATAGCGCCAAAGGGTTTGCTCAGCGCTGTACAATAGGGGGGACAATACATGGCACAGTACAACAAAAACAGACAGCGTACGAGGGGTAAGAGGGCCCTACTCTTTCAAGCTTACAATCTAGGAGGGAGGGGGTAGTGGAACAATAGGATGTGGCTGAGGGGGATGAAGTGGTGGGAGGAATGAGGGAGAATGGCCGTTAGGTGAGGGTGGGGTAGGCTTCCCTGAAGAGATGGGTTTTGAGGGAGCGCCTGAAAAGTGGGGAGGGAAGGCGACAGTCGGATGGATTGGGGCAGTGAGTTCCAGAGGATAGGGGAGGACCTGGAGAAGTCCTGCAGTCGTGCATGGGAGGAGGAGACCAGGGAGCAGGATAGAAGGAGGTCCTGTGAGGAGCGAAGGGTACGGGTAGGGTGGTACTTAGGGATCAGGTTGGTGAGGTAGTCAGGGGCAGTGTTATGAACGGCTTTGTAGGTCAGGATTAGAAGTTTAAATTTGATGCGTTGGGCAATCGGGAGCCAGTGGAGGGAGAGGCAGAGGGGGGTGGCAGAGGAAAGAGGCATTAGGAAAGAGGCTAGGCTGAAGTCCCCTCTAAAAGACCCTGTCCCAGTTGGGTCTGTCACAGAGTGTATCTGAGGAGCACACAGAGGAGGGCTGCAGTCACCCGCCGGATTGTTCTGAATGCCGAGACGGGGGTGGAGACAAGGGGGGTGCTGCAACTGCACAGAGCGGCACCAGATCTGTAGGTGGAGCTCTGTCCTCTCTGCTGCCAATTGCTGATGGGAGGGGTGCAAAATTACAAAAAAAATTAAAAATTTTTTCATTGATGTTTGACTATTGTTAAGTGCAGAAATGTAGGTCTAGATGTGCCTGCACATACATGCAGCAGATTCTGTTGTGTTCAAATGCCAGTCCATCCTGGATGGGCAAAGTTCCAACATTTCCAGGTAGTGTCGGAGCTTGCCCACTCCCACCTCCCCCCCCCCCCCCCCCCCCCCCCCCCCCCCCCCCCCCCCCCCCCCGGCACACACATTTCATTTGGTATATCAGTGATGGACTGCATAACTAACCAAAAGTACAAAAGTAGACCGTCCCTTAGGTGCAATTGAATTGTGATGGCATGTGTCTGCTCACTTGCTTGTTCGATTCCAATCTCCTGTTTATTTACTTTTGCTTTCTTCTCAGAATTATTCCCCATGCAGATGGAAGGTGTGAAACTTACTGTAAATAAAGGGTTGAGTAACTATTTCCAGGTAAGACTCAATAATGCGTATCTGTGATCATAAATAATAATTATATATGTAATGATGCATTTAAAGAGGTATTAAACCCAAAGCCATAAATGTAAAATATTACAACTTGGCAATCATTTGATGTGATGGCTGCATTGGCAACAGAGACACAGCATTTTTAATATCTGGGCAGCACAGTGGCTAAACGGTTAGCACTTCCGCCTAGCAGTACTAGGGTCGTTGGTTCGTATCCCAGCCACGGCACCTTCTGCCTGGAGTTTGCATGTTCTCCCTGTGCCTGTGTGGGTTTCCTCCAGGTACTCCAGTTTCCTCCCACACTCAAAAGACATGCTGGTAGGTTAATTGGATCCCTGTCTAAATTGGCCCTTGTATATGAATGTGAATTAGGGACCTTAGATTGTATACCCCTTGAGGGTTAGGGACTGATGTGAATGTACAATATATATATAAAGCATTGCGTAAATTGACGGCACTATATCAGTACCTGAAATAAAGTAAAAAAATTAAATAAATAGGGAGAAGGATTTGCTAGATGTACCAGCAGATTAAGGTCGGCCATACATGGGTCGAAATGAGAATAATCAGCCAATTTTCGCTCTGTTAGTGGGTGAATGACACCGGCCGATTTTCATGGTTCCCCCCTTTTCGGTGATCGGGCATGTTGGAAAATTCGTGAAAAACGACTGATGTTTGACTCAATGATGGTCAAATCGTACGATCGTTTTTACGAAAAGAATATGCGCATGAGCCGTGACCTGGAAGAAACAGACGTTTTGCCTGTTATATGGGGTGAAGTTTATGACTTGGTCGGCCGATGTTCTAAACCATTGATGGCACCATCGGATTACAGAGTGAACGACGTTTTTGATTTTCTGATGAAAAATTGTTCGGAATTCGAACCATGTATGGCCTGCATTAGGGTCAATTCACACTTTATGCAGTGGGAGACATTTTACCGCATGAGAAATCACCTGTCACTGTAGGGACACACAGGAAACAATCGTTTCCTATGTGTCCCAGTCACACTGCAATGCAGCCTAGTGCTGCAGCACGCTGTGATAAAATGCAGACATTTTATTACCATGTACCAGGCCGAATCTTGCTGCAATATCAGGCAGCACATCATGCTACTTGACATTGCAGTGAATAAAGTGTATGTTTTGTACACTTCAAATAAAGCTTGTACTAAACAAAAAATTAAAGGGAGCCATGTGATGTGCTGAATCGTGCACCACACTGCCCCCTAGCGAAGCTGGTAACGCAGAGCGGCCGGGGCGGTGAATCACTCCTGCTGCTCTGTGTTGTGTGAATTAAGCCTTCAGTACCCTAATAAAACTGAAGCCAAACTCCAGCTAGCACTTTTTAACCTCCTTATCGGTATTCCCGAGTGTAGCTCGGGGTGAAATTTCTATACCAAAAGCGGTAACCCGAGCTACACTCGGGCTTACCATGCGGCGTTCTCTGGGGGTCCCTGCAGCACTTACCTTGTCCTTCGCTCCCGCGATGTGTCCCCTGCAGCGTCCCCCGGCCATCTCCTCCGGCCGATGCCGGCATCCGGCTTCTGTGTTCCGGTCCCTGTGACGTACGGGCGCCGGAACCGGCGGGAAATTTGAATTTTTTAAAAAATGTAATTTTTGCTGTCATTGCTGTTTCAATGCATTTCACATACATTTTGTCCCGAGTGCTTTGTCCTGCGCCCTGCCTGTATTTTTACTCTTATTTCTGCCTGGAAACTGAGAAACGTCCATGGCGTCCAAAAAGCGTCCCTTTACGTCAAAAGCGGTTTTAGACCGGCTAGAGAACAGCGATAGTAAATCAGAACCACTTGCAGAATTGAGTGATAATGATTCGTGGGGAAATTCGTCATCAGACACTGAAAACGATTTTGCGACTTTGCTCAGCGATGTGCGAATTTGCCTCTGTATTTCAAATTTCAGTGTTTTTGGTTTGATTATATTATTGAATTAAATTTATTATTATTATATTATTATTTTTTTATGATTATTTATTAAATTATAATTTATGATTTCGTGTTTCAAATTTTATCATATCTGGAATGTTTACTAGACTCTTGTTCGGACAGATTTCAGTGAGTTATTCCTAAAAATTACAGCCTACAATAAAAAACTACATATTTCCATGCAAAAAAATGGTACCGCTTTCAGCACAAAAAATTGGAAAGAATCCGACCGCCGGGAGGTTAAGTAGTTACCGTAACCTTTTCCTTTTGCGTTAAAGGTTTTACATAAATAAAAGCTGATGATTGTAAGCACCCCTGTCAGTTGTAAATGGTTTGTCAACCCTTTTAACTGCTACGTCTACAGGACAGCTTGGTTTGTTGAAAAACAACAGACTTGCTAGCAGCATCACCAGGTGAAAATAAAAAGTAAGCCTAAACTAAAATGATTGCAGCCATCACAAACAATAATTGGTAAGCTCCAATACAATAAATGTTTGCTTTTGGGTTTAATACAGCATGTTCTCCAGCAAGGTAGTTTCACTAGCTTAGTAGACACTCGCTAAACATACCTGTTAACCTACTCTCACTCGTGCAGTGCAGCATCATCATGTAACTGGTATGGCAGTGATCAGGCACACTGACTGGTGACAGTATGTTAAAAAAAAAAAATAATTTGAAAAACAAATTTTCTTTAATTACTTTTTTAATGATTTTTTTTAAAAACACAATGTGCCAAAGCACTCTAATGTTACTATAGTCACATTGTACTTCTCTGTAGAGGTGATGAGGATTTTTTTTTTTTTTTTTTTTTACACATTATGACGACTTATACCAGTGAATTTCACTGATAAAAGCAACCATTTTTACTGAATGAAATTGATTCATTCAGTGTGTATTGTTGTGACTAGCTGTGATTGGCCACAGCTAATCACATGATATAGATAGGATGCGATTGGTCCTGTCTGTACCATGTGATCACTGTAACCAATCACAGCGATCAACACAACAGTCCACATTGAATGGTATAAATCCAAGCCATCCATTGTTTACAATTGTCATGCAATCTGTTGTGATTGGTCATAGTAATCACATTGTACCGGCAGCAGCCCAGTACAGTGATCTGTCATTGGCTGTGTCTGGTGCTGCATGTGAGGCACGTTCTGGAGAGGATATCCTATGATCTCCAAAGACATGCTGGTAGGTTAATTGGATCCTGTCTAAATTGGCCCTTGGTAGGTTAATTGGATCCTGTCTAAATTGGCCCTTGGTAGGTTAATTGGATCCTGTCTAAATTGGCCCTTGTATATGAATGTGAGTTAGGTACCTTAGATTGTACGCTCCTTGAGGGTTAGGGACTGATGTGAATGTACAATATATATGTAAATCGCTGTGTAAATTCACAGCGCTATATAAGTACCTGAAATAAATAAATGTCTACCCAGAATGATGAAAGTCCCACCTGGCCATCATTTTACAATGGGCCATGTGGTAAACCCTGCTGATTGGCCCTGTGCTGATCACATGCACTCTCCCAAGAAAAAAAACAAAAACTCTATCAATACACACCAAACTGAGCATGTGCAGCTGGCCCTCAAGGCTATGTTCTATTAGCAGATGGATTGGGGACAGTAGAAGGGGAGGAACAGAGAAGACAGGATCAAACAGCCTTTTTACACAATGCAGAGGATTAACCCTTTAGGTTTCTCAGTGAGTATAACAAGAATGCTTTACTGAAGCATGAAACATTGTGAGGGACACCTCTGCGATCAAGCCCCAGTGGGAGGGGCGATATGCGTCAGAGAGGCATGATGGCTGAAGCCATCCTCTACTCACGGGGTCTGCACGGGTGGTGAGAGCGGTGTCTCCTCTTCTCCAAGCATGCTTTACTGCATATACAGACTGATTTTACTGTTGTGGGTTTAGTAACACTTTACTTGGAGTTGCTTTCAGTCCTGGCACACATACCATGGCAGTTTATCTTTTTTTCTTGTCGTATCTCTCAGGTAAACCATACGATTGCACTCAGTACTGTCGGGGATTCAAATTATCATTTTGGAGCCACATATGTTGGAACAAAGCAGCTGAGCCCAACAGAGGTGCCAGAGAATATAATCTCTAACTGAACTGGAAATTCTCCAATGTTAGAATTTTACACTGAAAACGGTTTGAAAAGTTCTCATAAAATTGTAGATTCTTACTGTATCTACTGTAATCATGGCAGATGGCGAAGTTGTCATCTGCTCTTTGCAAATCGCGTTGGTAATTCTTTTGTAAACTATATACTATAACGACAAACAAAACCAGCGCTCCTCATGCAGACCAAATTAAATTTCAGGATGCCAAACGAAGAGGTGCTGCCCTTCAAAGATCGGGAAATCTGGACACTAGTGAACAGAAGCAGACAAGGGCGCACTCTCATCGTGCATTACCGTGGTACACCCACGTATTCACATTGTGTAGAAAAATAGATATATACTCAGAAACCAATGGAAATAAAAAAACAGTAGCAACATCATAAACCTCAATCAGTAAAAACACATAAAAGCATAAAACATTTTTTGGTGACTCAGCCATATGAAAAAATGTGGACACTAGTGAACAGAAGCAGACAGGGCGCACTCATCGTGCATTACCGTGGTACACGCGTATTCATTGTGTAGAAAAATAGATATATACTCAGGAACCAATGGGAAATAAAAAAACAGTAGCAACATCATGAACCTCAATCAGTAAAAAACACATAAAAGCATAAAACATTTTTTGGTGACTCAGCCATATGAAAAAATGTGGACACTAGTGAACAGAAGCAGACAAGGGCGCACTCATCGTGCATTACCGTGGTACACCGCGTATTCATTGTGTAGAAAAATAGATATATACTCAGGAACCAATGGAAATAAAAAACAGTAGCAACATCATAAACCTCAATCAGTAAAAACACATAAAAGCATAAAAATTTTTTTGGTGCCAAATGAGAAAAAAATTTTTTTTTGGCTAAAACTGTAAAAATGTATGACTGTTAAAAAAACGTGAAGATATAAAAGAGAATGTGGATATCAGATAAAAGCTGTTTATATGAATAACCAAGATCAAATATAGGAAAAAAACAACAAGTAAGGGGAGAGAGAGAAAAACTGCAATGTGTAATGGAAGCAATCAATGATATAAACAGGAACAAAATGAGAAGCAGCCATTGGCACACTAGTGGTTCTACAATATACACTACTGTTTCTATGTTTGTTTGTTTTTTTGTGAGCAGGTCGGCCTTCTCTGGGATTGGGCCGTTTGGAGTGGGTGGGAGGGTCTTTACACCCTTTTCCTTGACACTCTTTGGTATATAGCTTGGGACCAGCAGGCAAAATTTTAGCTCTGTGGAAGGGGGCTTGTCTCCGAAACGCGTCGGCTGTCCTGATTAAGGACACAATATTGCATTGACTGTTTTTGCGGACCTCTCATTCTGTTTTTTATTTCCATTGGTTTGGTGT